TTTTCTACAGTAAATCAATTTTCATTTTCAACCACACATTTTTCAATAAAATAATATTTTCCATCACATCAATAATTTTTTCTTCTTTTTCAACCACACATTTCCCATCATATCTCTATTCAAAATCAATTCTTCCCCCAAAAATCTCTCCTAAACAAGCTCTAAAAAAGAAGGATTTCTTTATTTATTTATTTTTAACTTTTTCGCTCTATTTCATGAGTCAATGTGTCGCCGTCGGTGGCCTTTTTTTTATTTTATTTTTTTCTTGAATAATGATTTTTTTTAATAGTGAACTTTTGAAGAATGTATGATTAAAAAATATGTAAAATTTTGAATTTACGTGTATAATATTTTATTGCGTGATTGAAAATGATTACGTAGAAAAAATTGAAAGAATGAGAGAAACATAGATTAAGATTTCCTTCCCATTTTCCCTCCTCTTTCGACACCTTTTATCCCATCCCAAGCAATGTAAATGCATAACCCCCTAAGAAAACTATACTTTTTGCTTCCGTTCGTCCTTCTCTGCAGATCTAATATGATAAAGTTAGTTTTCTTTTTGGTTAATTTCACTGATAATCATTCAACTTTGTACCTAGTATTACATTGGTCATTAACATTGTTGTGTTATATCATATATGGGTGCCTCACTATTCTTGGGCAGGCTGTTTGAGTCCATTACTGTGTTATTCGGTTTCTAGTCCATTACTTGATAATCGTGTTTTTGAAGCACGCATTTGTCTGTGTTGGTTTATTCTGGCCTTACAAGTGGCTCTGTTTTGATCGTTAGATTTGATATGTTGGATGAACTATATAGTTTTTCTCAATGAATCATGTTACATGTATATTATCTTAGATAACGAGTTTGACATTGTGCCACGTGTTTTGATATTATTGAACAATTTTCAAATAAAACACATATTCTCGCCCATTTCAATTTGAAACTCAATGGAATGTAAACCACAATGTACACAAGCGAATGTACAAGTGGTTTTATCATTTCTCAATTGTCACTTTGTGTATTTGTTTTGAATGTGTGTATGTTCTCTCTCTCTCTCCCTCTCTCTCTATTCCGTATCCTTCATCTTTGTGATTCGATCTCTATAATCTTAGTAGATTTCTTAGTTGTATTTTGTGTTATTAGTGAGATTGTTAGGAGTGTACTATAGAGGTTTTCTATTGAGAGGCGAGAGAAAATATTGCTGATTTCTTCATACATTCATTCTGTAACGATTCTTGATTATTTTAGTAAATTCGAACAATATCTACTTGTAGATGCTCAACTTGTCAAGTATTCTGAAGGTTGAACATCCGGGTCCTAAGGGGAGAAACAAATCTTTGTATTCATCTTCTATTTTCTGCAACTTTTTATTTCTACAACTTTTTATATTTACAAACTTTTGGTTTTATAACGATTTTGAGACCAACAAACAATAAATTTGCTTCATACTCATCGCTGAACTTTATAAAATATTTCAGACGGACTACTTATTTCAATTTTAGAATGTTCAACAGTCAAAATGACATTAAGGGCTGTTTAACAAGGCTTTAAAAGTTAAAAATTATTTTTATGATTAAGAAATTAATTTTGAATATATTTAAATAATTTTTCAAAAATATTTTATCTTATCACAAGAAACAAGAAGTAAAAGCAGCGTCGGATTTTCCTCCTCATTTTCCCTCCCCTTTCTAACCCACTTTCCTTCTATCTTAGCAAGTAGAGACAAAATCACGCCTCAGCCAACCCCACCTTCAAAAGTCTCATCTCACCCACGTTCTCTTCCTCTCTATCTTGCGCAAATACACAAAACAGTTTGCATTTTCTTCTGATAATCACATTTCTTTCATCAGTTCATTGTAATTGTAACCTTGATCCAGATTTTGTACTTCTTTCTTGCTTTTTAGAACTGAATTTAATCAGTAATTACTTCAATTTCGTTTTCCAGATTTGTAATGGCTTCAATTAACACTCACATCCAAATGATTTCTCTCGTTCTCTTCTTCACATTCGTTTTCTGTATAAGCCAAGTGTTCTCTGCAGATCCGCCGGAAAATTCACCCAGTCCATCTCCACATCCTCCGGCCGACGCACTCTCGCCGCCACCAGTCCTATCTCCTGCAACACCATCGCAATCGCCGTCTCCTGCTCCTCCCCCCTCACTTTCTTCCCCTCCGGCGCCTCCGCTGTCAAAATTCTTCCCAAGTCCATCTCCGGCATTAACCAATTCTTCTGCTCCTCACAAGTCTCCTACACCGGCACCCGGCGACGCGGAGGTAAATGTGAGCAATGTGGAGTCAGAGCGGGACTCCTCCTCCGGCGGGATGAACAGCGGGCAGAAAGCCGGTGTGGCAGTGGCAGTTGTGGCCAGCGCGTGTATCGTAGGAGTCGGCGCGTTGATCTACAAGAAGCGCCAGCAGAATGTGATCCGCTCGCAGTACGGGTACACCGCCAGGAGAGAAATTCTGTAGACCCCCACACAGAGATAGTTCTATATCCAAGTACTGTATGTATCACAAACCCATTCTAGATTCGTGGCATTTTTATTCAGAGAATTTTGGGGTGATCACTACTGTTCAGCGACTTCTTTGATTCTTTTTTGCATATTAAAAATAATTTTTTTTGCATCATTATGTAGATTTATGAAAATCTTCTTTAGTTACAAGAATAATTAATGACAAATACATAACCTATGTTTGTAGTGCATGTTTAATACATAGTATTTAGTAGTCAAAAATTTTGAATTCGTCTAATGGCATATTCAATCGTGACCTTATTTTTTAAGAACATCTTGTCATAATAAAAAAATTATTAAATTTAAATAATACTTTTAAAAAATCTCTATTAAGATGGGCAAATTACCTGCCAAATCGTCCAACCCAACCCAACCCAACACAACCCAACTTAGGTTGGTTTGGACTTGTTTGGGGGTTTGGTCTGGGTAGCTTCAAATTTGGTATCTATTGGTTTGGGTTGGTTCACGGGTTAAGCCACAAATCCAGATAGTCTCGACCCTTTCATTATTAACAATTTTTATATCATTTAAAATTCAAAATTTTAACTTAAATCAAATAGCAAAATCTAGTTGTCGTTTGCCTAGATGTCTCGTTCAAAAAAGGAAAGGGAAAAGCCCTTGCCACACCTCTGGCTCTTGTCTTCGTCTGACGATTACTATGATATTCAGCGTTTCTCAACTCCTAGATCCTAATTGCTTAAAATCAATTGCCTCGTGCGTTTTCAACTCCTAGAACCTAATTGCTTAAAATCAATTGCCTCATGTGTAACTTATTCCACAAAATATTCCTCCAGATTATTATATTATTTTTCTTTATTGAAATACTTTAAATGCATTTAATTATAGAAAGTTGGTTTGACTATTCAAATTTAGAGAGTCAAACCGACTCTTCAAATCAAAATATTAATTTAAAGAGTTTATTGGAGCATAATTTCAAGGATTGACTCTTTAAAATAAAGAGTAATTTATGTTTAAAGAACCTCCTGAAAATGCTCTTAGGGCAAAACTAAGGGTTAATTATCCCAATAGTCACTGAACTTTACCGAAAGTTTTCACCAAGTCACTGAACTTTACAAACTACGTGGTTAGTCACTGAACTTTGAAATTGCAATCCCATCCATCACTGAACTTTAAAAATCACCACATTCATCATTAAACTTTACAAAAAGTTTCCCAGATGGTCACTGAATCAGTGATCATTTCGGAAACCTTTTACAAAGTTCAGTGACTCCGTAGAAATCTTTTACAAAGTTCAGTGACTAATGGGGTAATTTTTAAAGTTCAGTAATGGATGTGGTTGCAGTTTCGAAAGTTCAGTGACTAATCACGTAGTTTTTAAAGCTCAGTGACCTGGTGGAAACTTTAGGTAAAGTTTAGTGACTATTGGGATAATTAACCCGCAAAACTAACATTGCTCCCCCTCATTATTCCACTTTTTCCAAACAGGGTAGGGGGGATGATTAGTTTTACACTTTTACTTTAAAATAAAGAACATCTTACCAGAGTCTTGATGTCTAATATAACTCATCAACCATGTTATTATTTGACTGAATGGAACATAGGGTAGGGAATAAGAATTTTTTCGAGTCTTAAGAGAAATATACTCTAGCTTCAAATATTTTAAGGAACCTTGAAATGGAAGGAACCACCTCCAACTACAAACTAATAGAATATTAAGTTTCAAATTGGTGTAGCTAATAATCAGGTATTTAAATAAATTTTGATAAAAATTGATAAAATATGAGATTAAAAATTTAAAAGTCGTGGATCCCTCGAAATAATTGATCAAAATTAATTGTTAACTTTAACTTAAATTTTTATCAAAATTTTAGGTCGTGCCAAACATGGGCTAAACGTCGCTACAAACTTATTTTTATTTTGCTTTTAATGGATCTTTGTATATTATGTAGGGTTCACAAATACTTCTCAGTATCCACTTGTACATCTTTATTTTTTGAAAAATAAATGAAACCCAAATAAATGCGTGATTTTTTTAAACTAAAAGTATAATTTTCACAAATCGGGCGTAGTAAAATTTGAACACGAGACATTTATTAGAGATGCATTGATTGTAGGACGAACATTATACAGTTTAGTGACAACACAAGTGGTCACTAGAAGTGTAGGCTGGCATGTGCGGTCCACGTTCGATTTGCAAATGAATTCATAATTATTCTTCATAAGCTCAGATTGGGGCCTCCTTCGTAATTATCTCATTTTTGTGACCGGTTGAAAAAGGAAGATGTGGCTTGCCATATGACGACGGACTAGATTAGAAGTAACTTATTTTTCAATAAAATTTTTCATCAAGCTCTTCACCGTGCACTCCTAAAACTTATTATTCCATCAATTTTAAGAAAGTCACAATTAAAACCTATTGAACTGGACTCACCAATTAAAATATTTGCAAAATTTTGAGGAGAAAATTCTATAAAATTAATGATTAAATGAAGAATTAAAAGACCATATACAAAGCTTTTGTTGGGGGAATATGGTATAATGTTGTTTTGTACGTGGATAACAAATGGACAAGTTTAACAACGCGAGAACGAAATTAAACAGAATAACAACTTGGTTTAAATCAAAAGTAGAAATGAAGAAGAAGAATGGATGAAAGGATTCGAGGCAAGTGAAAATACTCTTTCCTTAAGATAAATTTGTCACTCAATGGTGCTAACAGAGTCACGGCAATTGTCTTCCAAAATACAACAATTTACTTCCTTGTAGTAGATGCATTTCATTTTCTCTCTACAAATAATGATTTTGAATGCAAAGTTTTTAAAGAGTTTTGACAAGAATTTTGATGCAAGACTCGATAATATGATTTGGGATACCTAAATGACTTCCAAATTGTCCAATATATAGAGATTGAGGGGTTATGGATGGAAAGACACGCCACAAAACTCAGCAACCTTTACCAAAGGTCGCATCTTTTACTCTCATTCGCCTATTTCCCGTGCGCCGCTTGAGCGCCAAAAGCAAAAAGCTTATCGCTCGCCCGATGTTAGGTAGTCTCTCAAGCGACAGTCTTATGTATTGAAAATTCGATTTTTCCTTTCAACTTTGGACCAGAATTTTTCGTTCATCCGAAATTGATTTTAAGATTCCTAATATACCATAATCATTTACTCAACGAGTAGAACAAGTTAATCTATTTAGTTTCATAATTTGACTATTGGATCAAATCTGAATATTTAGTCAAAGTTGACACAAAAATCACTTTTCACATTTTTCAACAACCAATTTCATCTCTTTTAAACCAAATTCCGACAACTTTTGGACGTCATCATTCACACAAAAAAACATGATCTTGCATTGCGTTCTTCATATGCTTTTGCTACATCAGAATCGATGTCCCAACCATAAGAGATTAAGATAATATTCATTTTATTCAACAATAACAATGCAACACAATACATAAAATGGATCTAAATGAATAGACTCTGTTTATATTGCAGATTTTGATACACTAACTTTGTATTCATTTTAGGCTTCAGATAAATATTCTAATACAACGTTAATATATTTTGCTACCTTATTTCTCCGGAATCCGGATGTTTTTACTCTTCTGCTGGAGGATCCACCCAACGGTCATGATCTTTAATCAGCTGGATCAAGGCATCTGTAGCATGCTCCATAGCTATGCCTCTTTTCACCACAGTCTGATTTTTATATATTTAGTCGATACGGGGGTCAGTTAGAACCAATACGAGTAGCAATATATTGACCGGAAAAATAGAATTAGTTCGAAACTTGTGGATCAAGCAAACAAAACAGCTAGAAGTAATCAATCAACGATCTCATTAGTTCGTGTCTGCATTTGCATATGAAAGGGTTACTCAAATTGGACGGACAAACCTTTATGTATTTTAACTTCTTTTCAAATCTTTCTGGGAAGTATATCTTTCATGCTACAACTTTCTGGCATTCATGCTCTCAATAAAAATAAATAAAAAATTCACGGCATGTTTACCTTGCCAACATAAAGGTCGATCTTTCCAGGAGCACCACCAACATACCCAAAATCTGCATCAGCCATTTCTCCTGGGCCGTTCACAATGCAACCCATGATTGCGATCTACATGGGAAAAGAAGATATGAATAGGTCACACATTTGGCCAGATTAAAGTAAAAGTAGTATTACTAATGGATTATACTGTTGAGGGAAAAAATAAGCTAAAATTTGGATTATTATTATATTGTTTATTTCTATCTAATACTGTGTAACACAATGGATGTAGAGATTTGTAATCACCGAAACACCAGGCAAGTGGGATGTCTTCTCTCTTATTTGTGCACTGATCTCTTGAAGGTCAAACAAAGTCCTTCCACAAGATGGGCATGAGACATACTCCTGAAATTAGCATCGTTGGCAGATTAAATAAGTCGGGAGTCTCTTATTAGATTAATTTTCATTATTCATAATACAAATTTCCTTACCGTCTTTGTATTTCGCATTCTACAACCTTGTAGCAAATTGAAAGATGTATTTCTGAGGAACTCAAAGTCTTGATCTGGGGCTTCCAATAGGATACCATCTCCAAGCCCATCTACCAGGAGGCCTCCTGCATTTGTCCCAGCACCAATGACTAAATCATCCCTGCCAGTAAGCAGAATCGTATGAGCTAAAAGTTCATCTCACCTAAGCAAACTGATTTTGCTTCTGATTTACCTGTGAATTTGGCTAGGGAACTCTATATGATGAATGACAGGAAAGTCCAAGGAATTTTCAGAAAGATACTCAAAAAGCCTGCAATCATCAAGACGGTTAAAAATGTACAAGGATTCAGTTATCACGTCAGAGGAAAACACGAATTTCATACATATCAAGTTACAAAATGCAGAAATTTGGCTTTTGCAAGTTGCTATTGCATTACAGTGAGCATGATTATGCTAAGCAACTACTCTATGTTATAAACATATGTCTGGAGCCAGCACCAAAACAATAGTAGCAAT